ACTTCTTTTTTTTTTTTTTTAAGATTTATTTTTATTATTTTTTTCATTGGAAAGGCGGATATACAGAGAGGAGAGACAGAGAGGAAGATCTTCCGTCCGATGATTCACTCCCTAAGTGAGCGCAACGGGCCGATACTATGCCGATCCGAAGCCAGGAGCCTCTTCCAGGTCTCCCACGCGGGTGCAGGGTCCCAAAGCTTTGGGCTGTCCTTGACTGCTTTCCCAGGCCACAGGCAGGGAGCTGGAAGGGAAGCGGGGCTGCCGGGATTAGAACCGGCGCCCATATGGGATCCCGGGCGTGCAAAGCAAGGACCTTTAACCACTTGCGCCACCGCGCCGGGCCCAAAAGTGTAACTTCTTAGTGCTATCTGATGAAGCCCTGGAAAACTCAGATGAGCATACAGTGCAAACCTTCACCTTTCATAACTGTAACTCTCTTTAGCTAACCCAATCTTACAAATATAACTGAAAATCCCCTATGTGCCATGAGCCACAGGGCCAGGGGGTGTGAGTCCTACACAGATCCCGTCATGGGTGACCACCGTAGAGCTGGCACCTACCAGGGAGTCTGGGTGACCATCAACAGAAGGAGCCGAGGTTCCCAGTGGATGAGCAGGTGCAGGGCTCAACCCTCCCTTTGCTAACCCACACTAGAGGAAAGGCCCCTGGGGAGAGGCAGGCTAACGCTGGGCTAGCATCACTACTGCAGACTAATTCAGCTAATGAGGGTTTTCTTAAATCTATTGTACTCACATTTCCAAATCAGTATAGCCATAAAAATGACTGTAAAATTAACTTCTACTGCAGTTACTTCTCATGTTAAAGTCTGTATATATTTTTATACAAGGCCTTTCTCTTTCAGATCGATTTTGCTAGCTGGCAGTTGACTGATCTTACCTTCTTTTGGTATTTATACTCCCTCCTCCCACAGGCACATGCATGAGAACACGCTCCTGACTTCCCTTAAGCATTCCAACATACTACACTGGGTTTTTTGGGTTTTTTTTTTTTTTGGAGCTCATGTTAAAATAATTTTTCACTCTTGAGTTTTTCCCACAGCTATTCAGAAACTGTCTGAATGGAAAATTCATTTTTAATCTTCCTTATTTATGTACAGTAATTAAAATGCTGAAGGCCAAGTTTTCTTGAGTCATAGGCATTGCTGTGAATGTTCCTGTTGTCACTGCTTCCCACACATTCTTAGTCACTGATTGGATTCCTTCTACATTGTCTTTTTTAAAATTAAGGGAAATTTTGTATTTTTTTCTAAGTCTATAGGTTCTAAGTTTTCAAAAGTACATTTAAAACGCATTTTAACTACATTTTTAAAAAGCATAGCTAAAATGCAAACACTGCATTTCAAAAGCCTCATGGATTTAAAAGTCAATATTAATGAGGTTGGCATGGTGGCATAGTGAGTTAATCCCCCACCTGCTAAGGCCCGCATCCCATACAGATACTGGTTTGCATCTCAGCTGCATCACTTATTTCTTTGGGTTTTTTGTTTTCTCTTGTTTTTATTTTTCATGACACAGTTCCGTAGGCTCAGGGATTTCCCATTCCACTCTTCCCATACCCCTTCCCACTGTTTTCTCCCACATTATTATAATCATACCGTCCTTCAGCAACAGTCTCCAGTCCACCATTCTGCTATTTAAGGCTATCATGACATTGTAGGTACGAACAATGGTAGAAAGTCCAGCATCCCATGGTGAAGATATATTTAACAGTTTCATTGGGAATCCTTTTATTCGGGAGTAGAGATGCATGCTGCAACATATCCTTACTTCTAGGTACACTAGTCCTTCTACATGTTAAGAGTACATTGGGAGGCTGTTTTTGCCAAGAAGTTGAAGTAGTTTTTGTTTTCAGCAGCAGGTGAGAATCCTGCTGTAATAAATTAGCTTTTTAAATCTTACATCACCCAAGAAGGTGTGAGGAAGACGGGAAGTATAACCTATCAGGATCATAACTGATAACTCATAGACAACAGACTCAAATCAGCATTAGAAAATAACAAAACTACAAAGGCATATAGGGGGAATCAGGAGCAATCCCAACAACCTCTTAACAGGAGGTCATATGCACAGAGCAGGGGGGCACCCCAGAGTGGAGCAGGCAGACAGGAGGAGGCTTGTATCCCAACCCTGAAGACTCCTAGATCCTCACCAAGGACTATCAGTACGAGCTCCAAGGACTACATCCCAACCGCCAAGGAGACCACGGGGAATTGGAGCGCCTTCGGAGGCCGAGAACTCTGAGGTCACTCACTTCCATTTGGATCTCCCACATGGGATGGAAGAAGCCCATACCCTGCCTTGCTGGATCCAAGGTCATCGGAACGACAACCAGGAGCACTGAGCGGTCCGCAGAAACAAAACAGTAAACTTCCTTTGGGACTAGGGAGAGCAGCTTTCCCTGGTCCTTGCCTGGTTCTGACTTTGGGTCTCCACCCTCTCACGTAATGACCATCAGGATCGCTCCAGAAACCCCTCAAAACAAACTAACAAATAAACAAATAAACAACAACAACAAAAAACCCCTAGAATAGATAGAGAACAGCAAGGAAAGCTTAGAAACAGGAAACGGGCAGTGGGGATGCACTTATAACTCACTGGGTGGGACACAAAGATTAGTTACTCCTCACTAGGGTATGGAGGATTTCTCTGCACACCCCTCCTAAAACTGTTCACCTAAACTGTTGACATATGTCTTATTAGAATTATAGAGTTAGGCTACCCGAAAAACAGCCAGGTTCTGCAAAATCATGCTTCAACGCTATAAACTGCTAAATACTAAAATTAAAATAGACATGAGACAGCTGAATAGTAATCTATAGCCATTTTAAGGTGTATAGAACCCAGTTGTATATGAACTAATAATTGTAATGTCAATGTAGAAGTCATAGGATGTGGTTCAGAACTTGCACTCTTTTTTTTTTTTTTCTCTCTCTCTCTCTTTTAACATGCTGGTTACACAATACCATGTTAACTAATTCCATTACATTATAAATTGTTACTGATGTAATGTTGGGGCTTTTAATTGATTGGGATGATACTCTGTCGGCTCTACCTTCAGACCAGAGACAGTCTCCCCAAGAAACTGTTGAACTTATCTGGACAATAAGATGCTGGACTCTATGCTTTGTAGATGCTTGCAAGGAAAGAATCTCAACTGAATTTGAACTGTGGTAATGCAAAAAGAATCCACCATGGGAGGGGCAGGTTGGGCGGGGGGGAAAGGGGGAATCCCAGTGCCTATAAAACTGTGTCACATAATGCAATGTAATCAATAAAAAAAAAGCTAAAAAAAAAATAAAAATAAGAATAAAAATTAAAAGATATCCTGAGGCCATGCACTGATGTCCATTAAGGCCTGCCATCCTGAGCCACCACCTATGACACCCATCCCACATCAGCACTAGTTCGAATCACAGATCCTCTGCTTCCGATCCAGCTACCTGCTACTGAGCCTGGGAAAGCAGCCAATGTGCTGGGACCTTGCCACCCATGTCGGACAACCAGCTAGAGTTCTAGGCCCCTGGCTTTGGCCTAGCTCAGTCCTGATCTGTGTAGATATCAGGGACGTGAACGAGGAAGCTGTCTCTGTCTCCCCACTCTCTGTGGCTCTTCCTTTCAAGCAAATCAAATAAATCTAAAACAAAATTAAATTAAATAAACAGCATCCCATATGCTGAGTTCAAGCCTTGCCTCCATTCCTGATTCCATTTTGCTGTAAAAATGCACCCTGGGAGGCAGCAGGTGATGGCTCAGGAGGTTGAGTCCATGACACTCCTGTAGGAGATGGATTGATTCCTGGCTCCTGGCGTCTGCCTGCTCCAGCCATGGCTGTTATAGGTATCTGTGAGTACCTGTTGTGGGAGTCTGTTCCAAAGGGAAATGCTCTCTCTCTCTCTCATAAATGGAGGCAATAAAATTAATTTCTAAATTTTAATGGCATAATGTACCGAGGCTAGCTTTGGAATCCATAAAGCCAATTTTTTCAATGAAATCCTCTTTCTTCTGCCACCTTGGGCTCCCCCTGCCCTGTCCTCTGCTCATTTCCATTTCCACACGTCCAGCTCTGCATGCAGCCTAGAGCTGTTGTTTCTCATCTTGGTCTTCAGTTCTAGTGCCTCTCCCAGCATCCCTTCCATACTGGGAAAACACAGCAGTAGCGGCTGGGACAGGCTCCCCCGTGTCAGTAAACTGCAGTCTCCTTGTAGCTCTTGGAGTCTTGTCGCCTACCTCACACGTGTCCAACCACAGCACTCACAGCCGCCACCCAGAGTGGCTCACCCCAGCCAAGTGAACCACGGAGGGTTCACCCCACTTATAACACTTTATCATGCAGAAGCTTGCTTCCCTTTAGCTTTTTTTTTTCTTTTCCCCAAATTTGCTAGACCAATTTGCTAGACTGAGGAAAAAAACTGTTTTTTAATAAGCCCGTGGCTGCTGTCCCTCCTTTGACCGCTCCCAGCCACACGTGTTTTCACCTCCTCCCTACTGCTTCAGAAACGACCGAATCCATGGCAGAGCACAGCCCAGAGCTCTGAAGCTGATCCCCGGCTCTCGTGGACATTAGAACTCTCCCAGCTCCAAACCTGGGCAGATAGATACCACTAAAGCAAAGAGGGAAGCCTTACACCAACAACTGCAAGGAACACAGCAAAGCCCACGCCGAGAGCATCTCTTTTAGGTTGTACTACCAAAAAGGAATTTTTTTCCCTATGATAAAAATGGCACAGTTTGAGTCTGATCAGAGGACCATCCTCGTTTAATCCTGGAAATGGATCTTGACTTGAAACTGTCACATTAGCGTCAGGCCCATGGGAGAGTGAGACAAAGAGTGTAGGGGGTACCCGCTGATGGGAGGAGCCACCAAGCTCAGCCCCAAGGGCCTCAGGGTTCAGGGGCCCACTCAGATGGTGCCAGAGAGCCAGAGGGAGGAACTGGGGTTTGTGAGCATTGTGGCTTTGTCTGTTTCCTGTTTCATCAAGGTTGCTGTACGCAAAGAAAGAGTACTAAGAAAGGAAATGCAAGTGGGGGTGCAGCAGAGCTGTGGACGCAGAGCCTGCACTTCACTCAGCTGCTGCCACACTCCGTCTGAGACCAGCGCCAAGACCCACCTCCCCAGGAGCTGGAATGCTTTCGTGAGCAGCCTGGGGTGGAGCCTGGGACACAAAGGTAACTAAGAGGAGGAGGAGGATGCTTGGGTGTCCAGGCTTGGGACCTCCAACGCTGGATGCTCTGTTACTGAGCTTCCCTGGGTGCAGAGGGAGACCCTGGAGTAAGTGATGTAGGTCAAGGGTGTTGGATGGGGGGCAGGTTGGGTAGCCAAGAATGTCCTGAACTGCTTTCCTTTCCTGAGGCACTGGCTACAGAACAGAGACACAGCCCCCAGCTCCCCTGTACTCCCTCCATTGAATTAGAACATGATTGAGCCAGGTGCCAGGGAGGCCACAGGCCTCTGAGCCTTGAGGGGCATGAATAAAAGGACCTCTCACAGTTCCCTTCATGGCAGGACTGAGGCAGGAGCCTTAGTGGCTCACACTGAGAACTCTGAAGCAGGAAGGCCAGGCCCCTGCCGGAAGCCATGTGGTGTCTCTGCATCCACAGCCAGGTTGTCTAGGCAGAGACAAGGCCACTGCTGAATGAGAGACAGTATATGTGAGTGAGGAAAGCTCCCCCAGCCAACACCACCTCTTCTGTGAAGCTCCAACTGAGCCCTATTGTGTTGCCAAGGGGGCACCCAGGGATGCCCCCTGACCAATCTATGAACCCTACAGAGAGGTAGTTCCCTTTTCTCCTGAAGCCCATTTCTGCCACTGGGCAATTCCACAGGCTTTTGTCTTTTTGAAACAACTGAGCACAGCCCAAACATCCCAGACAGCTTGGTATGGTTCCGTCTAGCTGTTACCACTCTGCACCCAAATGGGTGTGTGGACCCAGGGTCTAGGCATGCTCCCAATCACAAGGGGTCCCTCCATGCTGCCACTCTGCTGTTGGACTCCAAGTCCTAACGTTCACCCATGAGGACACAGAGAGTGGAGGGATGTCCTCTCCGTATTTCGGTGGGCAGCCCTTAGGGATCTCATCTCAGGCCTTTATTCCCACAGCAGCAGGGTTGGAGGGTTCCCCTGCATCGGAGGTTCTGTCCCCCTACCAGCCTGTGTGACTGGGGGCAGACAGGAAGGCGGCCCCATACCCCTCATTTGATGGCCAGATGCAGGCAGGCTGGGTGGCAGTTCTTCCCCTTCATCTCTTCTTGCCCTTCCTGTTTGGCCTAATTGAGATGGGAGTTGTTTCAGGGACCACAGAGAAGTCCTTTCTCCTCGCTGCCCAAACCCAGAGGTCAGACAGGCCAAAGCAGTGAAATGATTTCAGCCTGCAATGAGCACCCTCTCCCCCTGGCAAACAACGGACTCCTTCAAAGACAGAGAGGGGTGTGGAAGTAGAGGACATGCTTGGTCATTCCCCATCCCAGGGGTGCTCATTCAGCCTGGAGCTTTGGTCTTCCTGCACCAAGTCTTCAGCATCCAAAACAGCACAACAAGGATATTCCTAACAATATTGTGTGTGTATTTATAGAAAAAAAAGTGACATTTATTGTGTGCCACAAGCCAGGGGCCTAGAGTGTACTTTGCCATTTAACTCATAACCTGACGACCCCCATTCCATAAAGGAGAAAACTGGGGCTTAGAGTTAACAGTTTATCCAAAAACCATACACAGGTAACAGTGACAGACTTAGTAAGAATGAAGACAGAAGTCACAAAAATGAGGCCCTTTGGAAATAGGCCACAAAGGACTGACACAGGCATCCTCCTAAGCCTCACTGGGGTCAGTGCCACCTGAGGCCAGAAGGCCCTGCCCCCACCCTTAAGAGTAAGGCGTCTGTGAGTGTCCAGGCTTGCCCACATCAGGACCCCTCTCAGAAAGTGGGACCGCCCAGCCTGTGACCCTGGGAAACGGGTGGTATATTAGCCAGAGAGCAGGAACCCTGCAGAGAATTCAAGGCTGAGCTAGAATGAACAGCAAAATCTACCCCCAAAAAAGGCTGGGGGCAGGGAGGCCACTACCTGTGGAGTCAGTTTGGCCCATAAACAAACTCACAGAGCCAGGGCTAGCTAAAGGTTGCTGGTTGGTGGAGCAAACACTGCCTCTCCCCTACCTAGGAGCCCAGGCTCCCAGGGTGGTGGTAATGAGATCCTGGGATAGAGAAAGGAGGCAGCAGCTGTGAGGGGGTGTCCCTCTTCCCTCATCAGTGCCAGGTCTGACCCCAGTGGCCAGAGCATACACAGCACAGGATTTCCAAAGCTCAGGATCCAGCTCCACACACATTCATCCCCGCTCGGCAAAGCTACCTGAGCGTGCTAGGAGAATAAACAAATTTACAGAAGGTAGGTGGGAGAGCGTAGGAAAGAACAAGAGTGATTGAGAGGGAAGAAGGGACTGGATCTGGATGCCTTGGGAATAGCAGGGAGACAACATGCAAGGTGTCAGGGGCAGCCTCCACATCAAGCCTGCTTCCCTGGGCACATGTGGTTCCAGTCTTTGTTCACAAGGACAGACTTTTTTTAGACTCTTTTGGGTGTGATTTGTGTGTGTTGTTTTGGAGGGCACAATTTTGGCAGCAGACTTCAGCCTAAGCAGATGATCCTAAAGATATGTAACCCTCCCTCATCTCTGTGAGCTAGGGAGATGCTCTGAAATGGTGAAATGGGTCTTTTTTTGGAACTGGGCAGGTGATAGGTATCTGATCGATACTGATGTGATTTGATTTGCGCCCAAGAAGCAGAAGCCGTCCCTGGGAGTGGAATGGGTATCCACAGACCAATGTCAGGGTGATGGGTGGCAGACCTCCAGGAGCACAGGGTGGTTACCAAAGCTTGAGAAGACAGCAGCAGGCACCGGTGCCAGGACTTGTCACTTCCCAGGGAGGATCGGGTTAGCCCTCTGGGTCACTCAACTATTTCAGTGCCAGAGTAGGCCAAGACAGCAGTAAAGATGCCAACTCTCCTCATAGGCTGGAGGATTAAGGGGCACAGGAGTGATTTCACTGTTTCTCTACAAGTCTGGAAAATGAACACACAGTGTGGAAAATGAAATTACTCTGACTACCAATTATTGCCCACGACTTAGAGGAAGCCACAGCAGCTAGAGAGACTCACATTTTACAGTGACGCAGGTTAGGAGGATAGATCAGGAATCTGCTTTTGTTAGCTTTTACTAGTTCACCAGAGCTTGACTCAGGGGCCCAGACTCTGAGCTGGACATCCTCACATCCTCAGGTTCCATACCCATGGAGGGAGCACTGTGCTAGAACTGCCGCCTGGCCCCCCTCCCCAGGCCAGGGAGATGGTCATTTTTCTTCTTGTCCTCTGACACCTCCCTCTTGGCATTTGGCAGGGTCCAGGCGGCTATTCAAGGAGCTGGAAGCCAAGTGCAACAGGTGCTCCGGAGGTCACCATGATCAGGCCAGACCCCAGGCCCTCCCCCGGCTTGGCCCGGTGGGCTGAGAGCTATGAGGCCAAGTGTGAGCGCCGACAGGAGACCCGTCAGAGCCGCTGCTGTCGCCCCAACGTTACCACTTGCCGCCAAGTGGGGAAGACGATGAGGACCCAGCAGAGAGAGCAGCTCCAGAGAGCTCGGCACCAGCAGTTTTTCCAGAGGAGGAGGCTGGAGGTGGAGGAGAAAGGCCAAGCATGGCATCCAGGGACCAGGGGGCAAGCCCTCTCTAGGAGAACACACCAGGCAGCCGCCACAAAGGGGCCCTTGGCTTGTACCAGCAGGATCTCCTCCCCCGGACAGCAGATGGGCCATGTCCAGGCAAGTACTGCTGCCAAGGTGAGGGGGAGTGCTGGCTCAAGGTCATGAGAAAGTGATTCTGTTAAGTCTCTTATTCTTTGGTCACATAGGCAGGTCTCCATTCACCAGCCACTTACTCACACAGGGGACTTTTGCTGCAATGCTTTTATTTGTTTAGCTCATTTTTTAGTTTTGTTTTCACTTGCCTTCTGGGAGAAACAAATACATAAACAAACCCATTGCCAATACCCAGTGTTAGTTCAAATTTGGGCCATCTATCTTATCTGCTAAGCTATCCTGTAACCTTCATCCACCCATGATTCATGCATTATTTATTAAATCCCTAAATGCCAGGCATGGCCACTCTTCTTGATATTTCCTGCTTCCTACACACACACACACAATCTGTTCTCTTCTGCAAGATTGTGGTACCTGCTCTTCCTCTCTTTCCCTTGGCCATTCCAGTTCTACCAAATTCACCTGGTTAAGGACTCATTCTGGTCCAGGGAGCCTTCCCTGGCCTCATTCTGGTCAATCTTGCTCTCTCTGAGCTTGTGAGGTTATAAATCTTAGGTTTTAACTCTTAGAAGGCCCGTTAGTCTGGCATGGGAAACAGCAGCAGCGGTGGCAAACACCAGGGTATGTGGAGATGAGCCAACCTCGGCCCGCAAACCATCTGTCTTCCCACTGGTGCCGTGAGCACACAGGCAGAGGGGATGGGTCTGCTGTCTTCCCTGGAAACACGTGGCACTATGCCAGCCTCCAAGCAGGGACTCCATGTGGGCTTCTTAACTGGTGGCCCCACTGCATGCAATGGGAGAGACTGTTCAGAGAAAAGATTCTGGGGCTCAACTGCAAAAGAAAACAAACTCTGTGCTTCCTAAGGTAAGGACTTCTCAATGTATTTTGCTGCAAGAGGAAAAAAAAAAAATCCAGAAGGAAAAAACAAGAAACAGAAATTCATTAAGAATTCCAGAATTCCACGTCCACCTACCAGACATGTAAGGTTTTACCGAGATTGAATCAGTCCAACTGATGGCATGCCACAGTGATGTCACCAACACAGACCTCCCGAGTTTGTAAGAAGACAACACAGAGCAAACTGAGTTGTTACCCTTACCGCTGCCACTCTCTGCAGCTTCCTACCTTGCCTTTTCTTCACATAAAATCTCAACGATCCCCCAGCCATTACTAAAAGCAAGGCACTGATCCCTTAGAACACAGGAAGGAACCTGTGGCTCGTCTGTTATGCAGTCTCTTCCACATAGCAGGCTGAGTTCCAGAAAGCCAGATCCCCTCACCCCACACGCATTCAGTTCTTTCTCTACATTGCCACAATGGGTTTGGAAGTGGCTGGGATCAAACAGTATAGATCAGGGATTCTTTTTTTTTTTTTTAAGATTTATTTACTTTTATTGGAAAGGCAGATGTATATAGAGAAGTGAAGAGAAGAGACAGAGAGGAAGATCTTCCATCTGCTGATTCACTCCCCAAGTGGCTGCAATAACTAGAGATGAGCCAATCCAAAGCCAGGAGCCAGGTCTTCCAGGTCTCCCATGTGGGTGCAGAGTCCCAAAGCTTTGGGCCATCGACTGCTTTCCCAGGCCACAAGCAGGGAGCTAGATGGGAAGGGGGGCCGCTGGATTAGAACCAGTGCCTATACTGGATCCTGGTGCATGCAAGGATATGTGTTAAAGGTGCACCTTAGCCTCTAGGCTATAGTGCTGGGCCCTAGATCGGGAGTTCTAGAGTGGAACTATTAAAGACAGATCTGGCTCCCACATTTGCCTGGCCTGACCACTCCAGCCAGCCAGGACAAGGTAGGCAGGTGCAGCTGAAGCCTGTGGCCTTGAGGACTGTGTGGGTCACTGGACCTGCATTGCAGTCCTGGCACATTTACACTGTCACCAGTAACCATGTCCTGGGAGGATTTAACAAGACGCTTATTTCTTACAATTCCAGAGCCCCACGAGCATGTGTGGAAGGCATTTTTCCTGGGATACCAACGGCCTTCTCCTTGCATCCTCACGGGACAGAGAGCAGATAACAAGGCCAGCTTTCGTGCCTCTCTGCTCCTGAGGGTGTGGGTTCTAACGTGAGGGCTCTTCACTCTGACCTGAATATTCCAAAGTTCCACAGGATCACTCAGGCCACAGCAGACACCATCATTGTTCATCTCTCAGAACCATCTTGAAAATCTTCTTGTTTGAGGCTCTGGGCAGTGGCTTTTAGTATCCCCTCTTTGCATTCCAGGTGACAGAGACCAGCTTCAGGATCATGCCAGGCCAGCGCCTCCCTCCCTCAGTCATCCAGAGGGACCAGGCTGACCAGTCCTCCCCAATGGCAAGGGAACTCCCGCCACAGGATCCTTCCCTTAGGAAACCGCCCAAACATCACCGTGGTAAGGGCGGTGCTCCCTGGCTCAATGGGGTTGGCAAAGAATCCTACACAGCTGTTCCAGCTCGTTGGAGAGTCTCTGTTTCTCCTCATTTCCCTCCCGTATTTTCAACAAGCTGTAAGTTGCTGTACCCTCCTTCTCCTCTCAGGCACTCAGACCAAGGTGGAAGAATCACTCCCAACCCTGAAGAATGATGCCAGTCAGCAAACCAAGTGAGTTCCTCTCACAGTCCTGCCCCGACCCCTTCACATCCCACCCATTTCTGTCTCCTAAGCTCTGACTTGAACACCTTCACCCAGCATGTCAGGGGAGCACAATGATTTCCATGCCCACTTCAGTCAGGAAAGAGGAAGCCCTTCCCCCTGACCCACCCACCACAGGCTATTCAGCAAAGATCCCAGAGAAACCCCACCTGCGGCCTCCCGACTAGCCTGATGTCCACTGTCGTTTCTTCTTCTCTTCCCAGTTACGGAGTGGCAGTTCTAGATAAGGTAAGAAAATCCATCCCTGGGAAGGAGTCTAAGATCCAACACTATGGAATTCCATGATCAACTCGAGGCCCCTTCTTCTGGGGTAGCACTGGGGGTGGTGAGTCCAGGGCCTACAGCCCCAAGCCAGAAAGTCTGCTATGGTTCCACGTCCCAGAATTGCAGGGACTCAAAAGTCCCCTTAAATACCCTTTTCTTTCTTTCTAGGAAATCATCCAGCTTTCCGAATACCTCAAAGTAAGTGTCCTCTCCCACCGCTGATGCATTCACCTGCCTCTTCTCCACCAGGGAGTCCTCTTAAATGCGGCTTTCTACTCTCTCCCCTACACAGGAAGCCCTCCAAAGGGAGCTGATCCTAAAACAGAAAATGGTGATTCTCCAAGACCTGTTGTCCACGCTGATTCAGGCCTCTGACAGCTCGTGGAAGGTAAGAGAATCAAGGTCATTGTTTCAGTAAAGCTCATGGGCATCCAGGTGTGCCCATCTCACCTTTCTACCCACACCCACCAGGAAGACCAAAACCAAAAGTGGGAACAATGGCCATTTTTCAATTTGTTGGAAAGCAAGAAGGAAAATTCCAGTATAGTTTATATTAGTGAAGATGGTAAATGTCCATTGTTTTTCTTTGGGATTCATACCAACACTCATTGCTGCCAGCCACACCCATTACTCAGAAGCCAGGGTGATGCGGGAATTTAGAAATGATCTAATTGAATCTTCTCATTTTGCTCGTGAAGAATTGTGTCTCTGACAGCTTAAGTGTCTTGCTCCATGTCATATAGTCAGTGGCAGAACTGGAACTAAAATTCAGGCCTCTGATTTTAGTCCTTTCATCCTATAGATACTCAGGGAGCATGTTCCCTGTACTGACTGAGCCATGGCTAAGACAGGCAGATGCCTAATGATCAAAGGTATGAGAGATCAGAGATGGCCTCAAGATATGGGAGACGATAAGAAGCTGTGCATGACACATTAGCCAGCCAAATGTGAAAGTAGAAACAGCATTCTAGGCAGAACATATGATTCAAGCAAGATCTAGGGGCGGGATAGAGTCTCACGCATTGGTTGGTCTGCCAGCTTCTTAAAAGAAAACATTTTTTTGTTTGCTATTGGCTAGGAAGAGTAACAGAGAGAGGGTGAACTGAGATCTTTCATTCACTAGAACACTACCCAAATGGCCAGGGCTGGGCCAGGCAAAAGGCAGGAGCCAGGAATTCCATCCTGGACTCCCACATGGCTGGGAAGAGCCCAAGCACCAGACCATCATCTGCTGTCTTCCCAGTGAATTTAGTAGGAAGCTATCAGATAGAAAGCTGAGCAGTTGGGGTTCTAACGGATACTCTTAATATACAATGGTGACATTACAAGTAGAAGCCTAACCCACTGCACCACAATGCCAGCCCTTCTCCAACATTTTTATTTTACCCTCAGAACTGCTTTGTGGTACTTTTTTTTAAAAAGTATTTAACGTCCTGAAAAAAAAAATTTGGATTTTTTCATATCAAAATTTACCAAGTTAGAGTGCAGATGTTGTATGTCAGCAGGTTAAGCCACTGTTTGCAATGCTGGTATTACATATGGGTGTTGGTTTGAGTCCCAGTTACTCCACCTATAATCCAACTCCCTGTTCCGTGCCTGGGAAAGCAACAGAAAATGGACCAAATGCTTGCACACCTGCCAGCCACATGGGAGAGCCAGATGAAGCTCCCGGTTCCCAGCTTTGGCCTTAGCCAGGCCTTGCCAGAGCAGCCATTTGGAAATAAACCACTAGATAAAAGATGTCTCTCTGTCTCCATTCTCTGCAAGACTACCAGATAAATTTTAAAAAGGGGTAAATTTTTTTTAAAAAAAAGAATTTACCATGTTAGAAAATAAAACAGAAACCTAGAAATATTTACTCCTTTAAAAAATAACCATCATAAAACCATTTCATGCTAACCTAAGTTATATATTTTTATTAAAAATACCCACTTTTATAAATGATTTATTTATTTTCATTGGAAAGACAGATTTGTGGAGAGAGGGAAAGACAAGGATTTTCCATCTGCCAGTTTCCTTCCCAAATAACTGTACTGGGCAGAGCTGAGTAAATTTGACGCCAGGAACTAGGAGCCAGGTTCTTTCAGGTCTCTCACAGGAGTGTTGGTCCCAAAAACTTGGGCCATCCTCCACTGCCTTCCCAGGACATAAGCAGGGAGCTGGATCAGAAATGGTGCAGCTGGGACATGAACCAGTGTCCATATGGGATGCTGTGTTAGGGAGGTAGAGGATTCGCCACCTAAGCCATTGTGCTGGCCCCAAATACTCACATTTTAAAAATAAAATAGTGAGAGGAGTGGGACTGCTTTGGACTTCTGTAAACCTCCTTACTGTCTGGCTGAGTGAAAGCCAGATTCTCTCATGTGTGCTTCTAAACTCAGCCTGTGGCAATCCCTTCTTTTGGATAAAGTTTGTGCAGGAAATTCAGTCACACAGAGGTGGATCATACAGATTCCTTGGGAAGGGCTGAGGGATTTCCAGGGGCTCTTTGGCCTCATGAAATACCCCTACATTTAAGAAGTTAGGAGTTGTTTGAAACCCCTGGAGGCATGAGTTAGTGGGGTAGGGTAAGCCACAGAGCTGCCTCTCCTCACTCTACTGTGAAGATGGCTTGGGCTTAGGAGGGAGAAACACAGCAGGCAGAGGGGGCAAAACAAAGCCAAATCTGCAGTGACTTAAAGGAGCCATCTGAAGTGCAGCCCTGCCTCCCCAGGACAGTCCCTGAACCTGAATTCCGGGAGCCTATGCTCAGGACTCTTGGTTGGAAGTCTTTTTCATTGGCAGAGTAGGAGGGTGGGGGTGACAGCTGTATATGCCAGGTGCTTTCCAATGCCAAAACTAAAATTGAGATCATCTCTTTTATTCAGTTGACATCTGATAAATTCCCATTCTGGGCTGAGCCCTGTAGTTCAGCAACAAGGAGCTCTTAACAGACTCACAGCCCAGCTGGGAAGACGCACATTCTCACACACACATACACTTGCTCACACACAATGAAAAGATACTACACATTTAATAAATAATAATAAAATTTAAAACTAAAAAGAGAGAGAGATACACAACATAGCCTTCAGGCAGTGTGGTAAGGCTATAGTGGTGGTATACGCAAAAACAGACCGTGAAAAAAGAACTGTGCTGTCCAAGGTGAACTGAGGAAGGATCCACAGGCAGGGTCATTTTAGCTGGGTCTTGGAGAATGAAAATGAACCACCAGCATGGGCATCCAAGTTCACCAACATGCAAGCAGGAATGACAATGGGGGTGGGCAAGGAGCAGAAAGGCACAGGAACCAGGATGGTTGCAGGCCTAGGATTGGCAAAGCACTAGGTTTCACAGAGCATGACTGAAATGACCAGAACAGATGCTCTCTGGGATTATGGGATTTGGACTCTTTTCATGTTGTGCGGACTGTTATCCAATTTGAGTAACATAGGGGCCCTTTGTAAAGAAAATGCAATGAGGATGCATGCTATCCCAGCCCCATGTAAGCAAAAGAGTAGCCATGAAACTCTGTCTTTCCCAAGGTTCCAGTCCTACCCATGGCTGTGTCGGGCCCATGCTTAGGTCTGGAATCAGATCTTCGTTTTGAAAAGAATCCTGGCTTTGGCCGAGGGTAACAGAGCCTCTTGTCTATCCCAATGACACCTAAGCAAGAGTGACAGCAAGCTTAGTAGCCATGGTTGGGGTAGGGGAAGATATTAAGACATTTCCGGTGTACACTCAGAGGGGTAGTTGGACTCCATACTAAGCCCCAGAGAAGTTTCTCTGCCTGTGGTTTTCTCCCTCCCTTCTTCTGCCCCTCCCAATCCTCACCCATCTCTTCTTCCTCCTCTCCATCAAACTCCCTCCCTCCCCCCAGCTTCCTGTTTTTATGAAAAATATTCAGACATTTCAGTTGAGAGCTCTGGTTTCTCCGAAAGAGGACAATTCCACTCTATCCCTCCCATGTAAGCCTCAACTTCAAAGAAAGGACAGCCCTGTCTGTGGAATGTGGGGAAAGCAACTGGAGGAATGTAGCCAGAACAGGGACTCACGTTGAGCCCAGTTCAAACTTGACTTTTTCCACTTGGCCTGTTTGATTTGAATGTCCAACTACACATGCAGAAAAACTCACAGCAAGATCTCAGTGAGACCCCTGAGGCTTGGCACCCTCAGTGGCCTCCGCCACTGGGCTGTTGGGACACACTGGGACCTAAGGCATTCTGCTTGACTCCTAAGCAGGGTCCAATCCTCAGAGCAGAAACAGCCCAGGCAGCAGAGAATGCAAGCCCTCACCATGGAAGCAGTACGAAAGCAGGAGCAGAGCACCCTTGGGTGTGAAGATCTGCAAAGTAGAAGTTGAGATCTTAAGATGACAACACAGCAGGGGATTGGCTAGGGTCGGAACAACCCCAGAGGAGCTGGGGGCTGGTGCTTCTGTGGTGAGGAGGTGGTGTGTTTTTGCAGAACAGGTCAGAGGCAGGGGAAAACCAAGCAGAACAGAAGCCGAAGCCGTCAGACCGGCACCAGGTGTGTACAGCTTCTGCCTGGGCCCCCTTTTCCCACCAGGGTTACTGTGTCCTCCAAGCCCTGGGTGTGCAGGGTATAACAGGGGCTGGACTATGATGAGCACTTGTTCCCAGAGTGTAACCCTGGGCGTTTCAGTGTGGGGAGAACCAGGGCCAAGACCAGGAAAACACATGGCCCATTTGCAACCACTTGGCTGTGACCTTCCTGCCGGCCTTGGGGAGTCTGGAGCACATGAGATTTTGTCCAAGCCTCAGACTTGGGTGGCCCTGCATCCCCACTCCTGGGGCTAAATTGTGAATTGTCTTGTATTACAACATGGGTGGAAAAAGTAATCTGAGTTTAGGGCTAAAATGCAAAAACAGAAGAGGCAAGATCCTGGATTGAAGCCATACTATGAGACAGGCACAGAGGAGCTGCCCAGAAAGTGCAGGAGACTGGGAGGAGGGTTTAAGAATACTGCTTTGGGCCGGTATCTTTCCCAAAGTGTAACAAGATAAGCCTTAAATTTGTGCATTTGACTATGTTCTATGTAGTAAGAGTCTGGGCAATGGAAAACGCATGAAATGAGAAGACTTGAACCTGAAGGGGCAGGGGGGTATGGAGCTGGTGGATTTCTGAGCCTGTGCACTGGCTATGACCAGGCCAGTGGGGGGAATGCAGCCGTTTTACCAGTTCCCCCAGGATGCAAACAGTGGAAATCTTTGTCCATCTCTTTTATCTGTCCTAAAGTCCTGTGGTTATTGTTGATTTCAAATCCCTGACTCTCAGTTCACTCTTACATGAGACATCAGGAAAAACATTAATAGTAGGAGGCACTTTAAAAAATTATTTTTGGCAGAGCTTTTTGCTTTTGCAAGGCCCAGCTGAGTAACACAGGAAGCAGAAAGGGTGGGGGCGCCCCCTGGCTCCCATGGTTAGAAGATTCAGCTAAACAAGATCAAAACAGGAGCTGTGAGATACCACTTCCTGCCTCCCCCAGGCGCTCTGAAACCAGGAGAGGAAGACAGAGGCCCCTCCTCTAGCCCCAGAGGAAACCGTTACAGACCGGAAATGTCAGGGGGGTTGGAAACCCACAGGCCATCTGCCAAGAGGGACCTCAGCGTGTCTGGATTGAAAAGTAGAATGTGCAGACCCCACAAGCGTCCCACAGGGCCTGGCTGGGAAGAAAACAAAGGAGGAACATGAAATAAAGGCTTGCTGCTGAGCAACCATGACCCCTTCTCTGGGAGCTTTGCTCTCATCACTAGCACTTTCCAGAATAACCTTCCCAAATACACACCTTGAATCAAACAGGGCTCGTAGAACTGGAGTCCTCCCTGGGACACAGGGACAAGTCCACAGGAAGAAAGAGGAGTTGCTAGGTGGCAATCTGAAGTAGGGAAAGCCAAGAAACGGAGAAGGGCCCTTCCAGCCAGCCTCTCTGCCACTCGCATCCTGCCCAAGAGCATGACTCCAGCAAGGCCCCACATTTCTTCACACTGGACTAGGAGGCCCCCTGTACCTGCTTTCAATCTTTATCCCTTCATTTCTTGCTTCCTTCAATAATTTCACATTTGAGAGGTGGATGTGTTATGTGTGTGCACAGAGAAGGGAGAGTGTTATGTGTGTTTGTGGAGAGGTAGTGTGTGGATGTGTGTAGAGGGAAAATGTGTGGGTGGAAGTGTGTCTAGAGAGGGAAATGTGTTACATGTGCAAAGAGGAGTGTGTGTATAAGTAAAGTTGTGTGTGTGGAAAGGGCAGTGTGTGTATATATATGTGAAGTGTGCTGTTTGTGTGGAGAGGGGAGTGTGCTGTCTGCACGTATGGAGTCAGTGTATAAGAACAGAAGGAGTGTATGTGCATGGGTAGAGGGGAGTGTGTGTGTGTGTGTGTGTGTGTGTGTGTGTGTGTGTGAAGTGAGGGTATTGGTGTACTTGCCATTCGTATCTGAGATTTCCATATCCCCAGATTCAACTAACCTTGAAACAGATACTTGGGAAAAAAATTCCAGAAAGCTTTTCTTGCCATTACTAAATAATATATTAATAAAGTAAAACTATATATATATATATATATATATACACACACATATATATATAAAGCATTTACATTGTGCTAGGTAACACAAGTAACCCAGTGATGACCTCAAGCACGAGAGACATGTACAGGTTATTATATAAAGATACTGTCTTTATCATGCCTAGCTTTGGGATGGGGTTGAAAGTGGTCCTGGCATCAATACCCCATGGACACTAACAGGCAACTGGGTCCTAAGGCTGTCGTCACACAGGCAAGGTGGCTTCAACAAAAGACTGATGATCTTGTAGCTCTGAAGACTGCCCATCGGGGATCAAGGTGTTGAGGGGGTCCTGCCCTCTGTGGTCTCTCCTTGGCTTGCCGCTGGCCATCTTCTTTCTGTGTCTTCACAGGCCCCTCCCTCAGCAATCCTGGTGTCTGGGTATCCTCTCTTTATAAATAACTTCTTCAAAGGCACTATCTCTGATAAGGCTGCATTCTGAGATTCTGTGGATGGTTAGAACTTCTATATGAACCTAGAGCGGGAGAGGGATGGGTACAGTTCAGCCCATTTCCAAAGGTAATGACAGAACACACACTTGTTCCCTGAGAGACAAGGCCCCCTTAACCTGTTCTCCACCAAGTACTACCTGGATATTTATAACATCATCTGTGGGCCACACAAATGTATCAGCTTAAAAGTCATCCCATATCAGATTTGCTGGATTTCATTTTCTGCCTTGGGTTGCCATGGCAGGACTAGACCAGATGTTTTCCAGGACCTTGTAGTGGCCCACATGCTAGGCATTCCTCACCTTTTCCCTAGAGATAAGGGTCCACACATAGGATGAAGAGGAGGCAAGCTACAGACTTGCCTACATGGCTGGAGGATAATGACAGAGAAAAAAGAACAACTTAGGAGCTTCCCTCCCAGGACACCCCTGCTATGATGCCCTGAGCCAAATGACAGAAAACACCAAGGAAAAAAAGCAAGAGCAGGGGCTAGTCTGGCTCTTCCTGGGTCTAGACTAGAGAAAGATAAGACAGTCTCCTACCTAAACATGCTGGTTTATCTTTGCTCCTCCATTCTGCAGACAGAGTTTGGTTTCACACTGTTTGAGCACCAACTACAGGCTGGGCAGCTGGCTGGGAATACAGGAATCATCTCCCTAAAAACTATTTTAGTCTGACCTCAGTAACTCATTCCATTTGCTGCAGGGACAGCTTAATGAAGACAAATTGAAGGGCAAATTGAGATCCTTAGAAAACCAGCTCTACACCTGTACCCAGGTAAGCAATCTGGAGGAATCTAAAACTAAATGAGGAGGCTGGCTCAATCCTACTGCCCAGAAATGCTGTCAGATTTCCATTAACACACCCACTCCTCCTCACCCAGATCTGGCTTGACCATGTCACTTTGGTCTCAAATTTGTTTTATTTCTATCACCATTCTCCTCTGCCAGCACCACACACTTGTCATTTCCAAGGCAACTTGAAAATACCTGAAGCCATAGGGAGAGACCTTCTGGTAAAGATTCATAGTACCCAGCTAGATCCTCATACGTCTCAATCTTTGAATACATGAGTTGAACGTTGTACAAGAAGTTTTGAAAATTATTTTCATTACATGGGCAACATTCTTTTCCAGAAAGAAGTGGAAGGCTGTGATTCTTGGGTTTTTTGTTGTTGCTGTTTTTGTTTTATGTGACATTGTTATTCAATGTCAGTAACCTCTTGACTGAACTAATCTTGGATTACAAAAGTCTGCTTTCACACTTGAGAAGTGATGGCATCCTGACAGGTGGGAAGATGTCAAATGAGAGAACAAAGTGGACCAGGCTGACTTCTCCCATTGAGGGGTTGCAGAGACACAGCAGCCTTGGCTGCATCTTTGGAATCTTACAGGGGAATAGTTCATCTGGCCTACATTTTTCCTGGCCCACAAGGTTTTCTCCCAATATGCTCTGCTTTATCAGGCTCTTGTGAACTAAACAATGCCAAACAAACTAATGTGATACACACATTCAACCCCAAAAGCCCATCTATCTGTCTTCCACAGAGGATAGTCAAAATGTTGCCCAGTGACCATCCTTAGGTAAGTCCAATAATTGGGACATTCCCCATGTATGACCTCAAATAGCAACTCATGAATCCGTTTTTTCATGAAAATGCCGCAAATGTCAGATGCACTCACATTTAGCAAACATTTTTAGCCAATTCCGAAGCTATATAGAGATGATTTCACACTGATTCCCAAACTGTCATTACCCAGTTGACAATTTACCCAGCAGGTGATCCAGAATTGACAGTCACAGCTGCCTGCCTTGCCCCAAATCGCATGGCATGAGAATGAAAGCCACAAGGAGGGCACAGCACCATGTGAAATTGCAAAGCAGTCTGTGTATCTCCTTCTAGATCTCAGCTCAACGTTCGGCAAGCAGAAGCTCAATGTATTTTGTTGAACTTCTTCAAATCTGCAGAAATATTCCCCTTGGGGAATGAAAAAGGTGCTACTGGAGATGGAAGATCAAAAGAACAGCTATGAGCAGAAGGCCAAGGAGTCACTGCAGAAAATGCTGGAGGAGAAGATGAGTGCCGAGCAGCAGCTACAGAGCACGCAGGTACAGATGTGGCAGCGGCCCTGGATTGGGGGAGCAGCGGGCAAGGGGGCCAGCTGCAAACCTCCCTGGGATTCTTTCTGATTTCCCTCAGAGGTCCTTGGCCCTGGCCGAGCAGAAGTGTGAGGAGTGGAGGAGCCAGTACGAGGCCCTGAAGGAGGACTGGAGGACCCTAGGGGTCCAGCATAGAGAGCTGGAGAGCCAATTCCACGTGCTTCAGTCCAAACTTCAGGTGCTGGGCAGGGGAGCCGGAAAGAGGGTTGGTGGTGACAGAAACTGGGGGCCTTCAAGGCAACTGGGGCCATTTGGTTTTCAGTTCCTCACACACTGCCTACTTTGACCCTGACTCACTGTTTAAGAGTCTGAGATCCAATTCGGAGTTTTGGCAAGAAGGCCTGCATTGTTTATGCAAATGAATTAAGTGTTCACAGAAAAGACACCAGCCATATGCAAAGAGCTGGGCTGGAACATTCACCAGCCAACTAATGTCATACCCAGCCTACTCTCCAAGCACCATCCCAAAGAACATTCAGTTCACAATCTCCTGCTATTGACCTAGACCAACTGGCACTAATTCAATAACTTGTACAGCAGGCCCTCACATTCTCAAGAGCTCCATCATTTCTAATCTGTTAACTTGGAAAAATTAACTATTCTCCTAGCCCTGAGTTTCTTCACCGCTAACATGAGTTTAGTGTAACATTCATGTGCCAGAATAGTGGTAAGGATTAAATGAGGTAATACATGCAGAACAGCTGGTATAATGCCTGGCAAAACAAACATCCAAATAAATATTAGCTATGATTCTGCATAGAATTTACTTGAATGATTTTTAAATTTTTTTAAGATTTTACTTTTATTATGTTTTATTGGAAAGTCAGATATACAGAGAGGAGGAGAAAAAGAAAGTTCTTCCATCCGTTGATTCACTCCCCAAGTGGCTGCAATGACCAGAGCTGAGCCGATTTAAAACCAGGAGTCAGGAGCCTCTTCCAGGTCTCCCACACAGGTGCAGGGTCCCAAGTCTTGGGCTGTCCTCCACTGCCTTTCCAGGCCACAAGCAGGGAGCTGGATGGGAAGTGGGGCTGCCGGGATTAGAACCAGTTCCCAAATGGGATCCCAGCAAGGCTAATACTTTAGCCGCTATGCTACCACGCCAGGCTTGTAGTTTTTAATTTGAAGATTCATCCCCAAAGCTGATCTTTCTAATTTTCCTGCAGCAGGGATCCAAAAAGTCCACGTGGTAAGAGCTGAGCTGTGTGAGTCCCAGCAAAGGAGAGGATCTAGCTGGACACTCCTATCACGTCTGTATCTCAAACTCTGTTGTTTTCCTTTTCCCATCATTGCTTAGCTTAAAAGGGATACCTTTTTTTTTTAAAGAATGATTTTATTTTATTAGAAAGGCAGATCAGATTTACAGAGAAGAGAGACAGAGAAAGGTCTTTCATCTGCTGGTCCATTCTTTAAATGGCTGCAATGGCTGAAGCTGAGCCAATCCAAAACCAGGAGCTTCTTCAGGGTTTCCCGCTCAGGGTCTCAAGGCTTTGGGTCATCCACTAGAGTTTTCCCATACCATAAGCAGGGAATTGGATGGGAAGTGGAGCAGCTAGGACATGAACCAGCGCCCATATGGGATCCTGGCGCTGCAAAGTGGGAATTTAGCCACTGAACCATCATGCAGAGTCCCTGAAGGGCAATTCTTATGAAAGAGTCTTTGTTTTAGTCGTTTGTGAAAAATAGCCAGATCAAAACAGAAAAATATAGAGCTAGAATAAGAAGTGAAAACACTTAGAAAAGGGATAATTTACTATTCTTTAAGAATTAAGTAAGGTGTCAGGTGACTTGATACGACTTTTGTGCATATCAAAAGTCTAATACATTGTTACAAAAGTCAGGAGAGCAAAGGGAAGAATACAAAAAACAAAACACAAAAACAAACCTTCCCTATTTTTCCATTTCCCCAACAGTCCTTCTGTTCTACAGTTTTCCAAAATCTTCCCCAGCCTCCACCCAGCACTGACCTGCTTCCTCCTTGCAGGGAGCAGACAGCCGGGACTCCCAGATGAACCAGGCCCTGCGACTTCTGGAGAATGAACACCAGGAGCTGCAGGTCAAGATTGAATGCCTGCAAAGGGACAGAGAGCTGTGCAGTGTGGACACCCAGGACCTGCAGGGTACCCTTGTCCTGGGAGATGCGGGGAGCGCGGGCAGCGCGGTTGAGCGAGTGCGGAGGAACCAAGCTGGGCGGAGAGAGGCCTAGAGCCTTCATCCGTGCTCTCTTAGCTTCAGCATTTCATTTCACCTTCAGGGCAGGGTAGGGCTGTTTCAACCATCCAACATGGAAAATTAATTTTGTCTCACTGGCAGGTCTTGTTGTGTGAGCTTTCTTTTCCAGCCCATCCCTCTGGGTCAGGCCACAACTATTCCCACATTAGTCACTACTAATGCCTAATTCGAAAGAGAAAGGTCAGTTACGACACAATACACAGCAGTTGGGGTTTCCTACTCACAGCCCTTATTGTCAGCTCAGAGGAAAGATCAAAACTCAGACTCACTTGGGAGCTGGTCTACCTCTTCAGGACTGGTGAAGACAGGAGATGCAGCAACTGCCATGTGACATGTATCAGAAGCTACAGACAAGACAGTACCATGACTTCCTGTCATCCTCATGTGTTGAGTTCATTAAGTCACATCCCTCAGTTCTGGTTTGCATTATTTCATTTTCAGATCAGCTAAAGAAGTCAGAGGAGGAGAAACTTGCCCTGGAGACCAGAGTCCAGCAGCTACAGAGTAAGTGTCCCTCCCATGTTCTGTAAGGAGCCTGGGGGGACCTTTGGGCATCCAGAGGAGTGTGGGGAGGAGGTACGGTCTTTGGCATCAACTTTGCTTCTGTGCCATGGCAGCTCTCTTCTGGGCCAGAGAGGTCACTGCTGTAGCTCTGCTCAAGTTACACAGTAGCCCCTGTTCCCTTGATTTCCTCCTTTTCTCCTTCTATGCCAAGGAAAACCACTTGCATTTCTACCAGAAGAGCAGATTTTAAGACATACTAGGCTTTCTAGGGTGGCTTTAGTCTTGTCATTATCTAACTCATTATGTACATGAGGGTTGCATAGACTTTTGCCATGAGGAATAGCTTCAGAAAATAAAAGACTCACAAACAGGACTCATTCCACTTCACCCTGCCTATCAGGCCCAGGGAGGGAAAAGGACTACTTTTCTGAATGGTCAGAAGAACAGAGAAGTTTCATGAACACACACCCACACACGCCCTTACTGAGCGTCTTCTAAGTGTCAATCATCACAGACACCCTGAGGAGACAGTCATGAAGAAAGCTGTCACGTTCTAAGTAAGCTCTAAAGGCCAGGCCAGTGAGGAGAGCTCATAAGGATGGGGTATCTGTAACGATGTGCCCCATATTGAGTGACCTGAAGAGAAATAGTCTCACAGGGCTAGAGGCCAGAAGTCCAACTGAAGGTGCCTGCTGAGGGCTTGCTGGTTCCTGCTGAGGGCTTAGACAGAAGGCACTGGTTCAGGCCCCTTTCCTCGGCTCGGCCGGTGGCTGTTCTCTTCCTGTGTCTCTTTACACCGTCTTCCCCATAAGCATCCCTGGGCATGTCATCAGGACCCCGGTCCTCCTGCAGAAGGGCCTACCTGCCACCTCTTTTTAACCTGATTCGCCTTATAAAGTCCTCCAACTAAGTCCACATCATGAAAGACGAGGAGGTTGACATACAGATTCCAGGGAACGAGGTTCAATCCACACCAGATGGGCGCAGCTTTATACTGAAGCCAAGCAACACTGTGGTAACCATGCCAGCACAGCCGCATTCCTTATGTTTTCTAACAGGTCTGCTGCAGAATCAGTCCACACAGATTCAACAACAAGAGAAACTCTTAACAAAAAAAGGTCAGCAAACTCACCGCCACACTTCCTAAGATACTGCTCTTCCCCCACCTGTCTAGAGGCGAGGCCATGGACTCACATGACCTCCTGGAGCCTTCATCCAGTTCCGGGAGTTTATTAAGCCAGGCATGTAGGAGGCTTTTAAGCACTGATCACTGGTACTAGAAACACTTAGTGAAAGTGGCTCTACACAACCACTGAGAAGTACACAGACCATGAAAAAGCACTTCTCTTCTCTCTCTAAAAGCATGTCTGTTGAATGTTTCAATAAATCCATTGTGAACTCAGGATTTCATGTAATTTTTACACACCTGACTCTCCAACTTTCCAATCTCAAAGCATGTAGCGAGCAAGAGCCACTTTACTGTAGCCCTAAAAAGTCTGCTGTCAAAGCTGGTTGAGAATGCACCGTGCACACAGAGAGTGCAGCAGATCCCAACTTGTCCACTACTTATGGCCTCTTGCTGACTCCTCACACACTGGCACAACATGCTAGATAAGACAGAAAACAGTGGTGCAGATAAGAAATACAAAAATAAGAAAAGGTACAGATAAGAAAATAAAGGCTGACGGTCAAAGTACAGAGCCAATGCTAAATGCATATCTTCTGACTAGTCTGGTGTTCTTCCACCAAGACCGACTGCAAAACCATCTTTCACCACATTAATATAAACTCTAGGATGTGACTGCCATTTTCCCAACTTTGGGAGGAGGAAAAAGTTATACTGAGGCATCCAGCAAACCTACATCAGGAACTAGAGAGGCTGTGGTGTGCATCCAAAGACTGGAGACACAAAGAAAAGGAAGACGCCAACCACAAGGAGCTGACTCCAGCTCTCGGGCTGAGCAGGAGCCCAGTGGGAGTTCCTTATGTCAAAAAACGCCACCACACTCAGGCTAGCCCAGGGTAAGGCCTAAAGGGTTCACTCGCACTCCAACACTAGGGTTTCTCATGACAGGACCCTCCCTCACAAGGGTCACCCTATCTCTCAGAATCTGGCCACTTTTTTAGATCAGGCTTTGTCTGTGTGGAGTCCAAAGCCTGCCCATCAAGAAGTGGAGCCCGAGGGTACAGGGAAGGAGAAAGACTGGGATCTCAGAGACCAGCTGCAAAAGAAGACTTTGCAGCTCCAGGCCAAGGAGAAGGAGGTAAGATATGATTCCAGGTAGGGACTCCCCAGCCAGCAGAGGCAGCCAGGAAGCAGGAATTCCAGAGTTTACCTTGCAATTGGATGTCTGCAGGCATCTTTGCTTTTCCTTCCTTATTTATATCCACTCCTACTCACGATTCTGTTAAATTGTTACTTTAACAAAATCAACCTAAATCCAAACACATTTAATAAACATACTAATTTTTCTACCTCTGCCCCACATGGAGTATCTTAAGACTTTATGTAGCAACTTCTAAGTAGCTAAAAAAACAACTGTTCTTTGGTATATACTCATAAACACATGCACACTTCACTCTTTGATGTTCCAATTTGCACAGCACTTGCCAGTAAAAGCACTTACATGGATAAAATTTACTATTACAACATGCATTATAATCAGCCATTTCTATGAACACACTCCAAACTAGATCAGACAGTTGAATGACAACCTGAAATCCCCAGGGGAGGCTGGGATAAAAGGATCCCTGACGAACGAAGGGCTAACTCACCCAGAGACGTCTCCCCTGGCTGGGCCTGGTCCTAGGTGGACTCAGTGGTGATGACCTTGGTGCTATTGTCTCCAGTGCAGAGAACTGCATTCAGAGTTAGACAACCTCAGCGACGAGTACCTCGCCTGCCTGTACAAGCTGCAACACTGCCGAGAAGAGCTGAAACTGAGTCAGCAGCCACCTCCAAGAGTAAGAGGTTCTCCTGTTCTGTACAGGCCTGGATGGTGGTGGGACAAGTCCTGCTTCAGCCACATGTTGCTGATAACACCTACCAGTCCATGCCAGTATCTGGTCAGCCTGTCCCAATCCATTTGGTTCATGCGAACACAGAAAGGAAACAGACTCGTGCATCTAAGCCGTTTCCATGGAATACTTGAAGCCAGAGGTGGGCGGCTGGGGACACTCTGTCCACCTCTGAAATATGAAAGGTTCTTTCAGTCTCTCGAGAGCATGGTGGCAAGGATAGGAGCATAGTGCTGAAGGCGTATGAACAGAAACCACACCGGTTGGCTGAAGAATCTCCATCCTTGATTATTTCTATCAGCATTTGTGAGTCTGACGAGTGTCAGCTATGGTTTCCTGAACCAGGCACCACTGGGAAAGTGGTCTGAACCCAAGCGAGGTGACAGAAACTGGGAGAAACACTGAAGTCCAAAATTATTCTCTGCTGCCACCCCAAGGTTTTTTTTTTTTTTAAGATTTATTTATTTATTGGAAAGGCAGATATACACAGTGAAGGAGAGATAGAGAGGAAGATCTTCCCCCAAGTGAGTGCAACAGCCGATGCTATGCCGATCCGAAGCCAGGGTCCAGGAACTTCTTCCGGGTATCCCACACGGGTGCAGGGTCCCAAAGCTTTGGGCCATCCTTGACTGCTTTCCCAGGCCACAAGCAGGGAGCTGGATGGGAAGTGGAGCTGCTGGGATTAGAACCGGCACCCATATGGGATCCTGGTGCATTCTAGGTGAGGACTTTAGCCGCTAGGCCATGCCGCCGGGCCCACAGGGCTAGAATGGGAAGATTAGTTTTGCTGCTACCCTCTCCAGTCAACTCATGGTTGCTTTCTCCTGTCTCCCCTCCCCTCCGCAGAGGCAATGTGGTCCCTGGCTCCCAGTGCTGATGGTGGTGACTGCTGTAGCACTGGCAGTGTTCCTGGCCAACAAAGATAACCTGATTATCTGAGTAACTTGTGGCAGCTGCCTCTGGTGAATATCACAAGTAAGAAACTCAGTGAGACTCAAGTTTGGATATTTGACAGCTTGGATTGTTTTGTTTTTCCTCCAACTGAATTGCAATTTCTGACTTATTTTTTAAAAAAAACTAATGTAAATAAAATTCAAGCTGACCTGACCCTAGGAACTTTGGGTTTATTCCTGAATAGCACAGCACATCACAAGTGTGACACTTTAACACCCTGTCTATTCTTGGCGTAAGTCCATTGAAACTTTAAAAACAGGCAGAAAAGTTCAGTGATTCTGCCTTTCTGGGAGACACTATCACAGAGAACAGGTAGGTTTACAGTGCCAACATACAAGGGTGCACCCCTTGCTGTCCATCACCCTTCTTTCTAGCATCTCCTTCCTACCAGCTCTTACAGAGTGAAAAATGAAATATCTACTACACAGACTTGCTAATATGCAACTGGCAATCAGGTAGCCAATTCATCACAGCATTTTTCTCTAGCGTTCTCGAGGCACCTGGAATTAGTACCTAAGTTGATTTTTATTTGCCTTCTCCAACTCAGAGATGATCATTCAGAGTAACTTGGCCAAGCGAGGATAAAGTCACAGCGCCACAGCTGGCAAGGTAACCATTTCAGTGGAGATGCTGAGGTCAGCAAAGTCATGCTGAGTTCTGAATCGGGTTCTGAGGTCCTTTTCCCAGGTGCTGAGATTGTCCCTCAGGGATTGAAACAAGCTCTCCGGGACACTAAATGAGAACAGGACCGGAGCTTGATCTAAGAGCCATGACATACGAACAGTGAACACCCGTAGTGGAATCATGGCTAAACAGTTGTCTTCCACCTGGTTCAGGCAAAAGGTGTAGGGAACTGGATAGCCTAGAAGGACGCCAAACACAGTACAGAGATTCCAGTGTGAGGCAGCCAGCCTGCTGTGGGAGATGTCCAGGGATGGCTCCAGCCCCCGCAAGTGGGTGATGACCTCAGCCACGATGGCTTTCAAGTCCGGAAGCTGTTCCAGGGAACAGACAGAAGGCTGAGGCTGGGAGCCAGACACATCCACAAAGGTGGAGGCCCCAAGCAACACCTGCTCCAAGTGCTGACACACACACTCCGGGTTGACGATCAAGCCGTGTTCTCCAATCTCAAGAATGTGGAGCCCTGGGGTCGGGAGGCCTAGCCCCCGAAGCTCCCCCAGGTAGGTCCGGAGCGCTGATGCGCCTACACAACTGTAATCATACAGCATAGCTGGCTTCAGCCCCCGGGCCACAGCCAGCACCTCTGCGGCCAGCTGAAGGCAGATGGGTCGCGGCAGCCGCTTTCTCTTTCCCATGCCCAGCGTCTGCTGAGCTGCTGCCACCAGCAGCTGGGGGCTTGGTGATGACATGCAATCTGCAGCAACACCAGAGGCAGCCTCCAGACACTTGAGGAAGGAAAGGCCTGGAAACAAAGCAGAATTGTCAATCTGTTAAAACCAGCCAGAGACACACCAGGAAACCTACAGTCTTCCCACTGAGTCTCGCAGGCTCCCTCCCTCGGCTTTGCAGGGCTGCCTCTGCCCATACGGATGGGGTTGCCAATGCTGCCTGATCTGGGGCTTAGTGTCCCTCAGTTCCCAACCTTTCAGGTCTGTGGCCAAATCTGTTTGCTCTCTGGCTTCTGGTCTAAATGTTACCTGGTGTGAATTATGTTGACTGATCCACATGCGGAAGGGTTCAGAGCACAGATGAAGTAGGGCAATCTGGCAAAGTCAAGACAATTTCACCAAAAACTGCCCAGCAGGGATGGAAGTCGAGCTTCCAAATTATCCTTTCCAACAACAGCTTCCCCTTCTCTTCCTACCACGGAGAACAGCTACCTTCACAACAACTGGGTCAACCTGACTTACACTAAAATGTACACTTAACACCCATATCACCGGGTTATACAAAAATAAAAATCTCCAGAACTGCAGGCAGCTGCTATTTGCACTTTTATGGCTTTCCGCTTTTCCTAGACATCCAAATACCCTGGAAACACCGGCTCCCTCCACTCCACACACCCACACCTGAGCATAGTAACCGACAGTACAGAACATGTGGATGCCTCCCTCACGTACGTTCTTCTTCCGCTTCCGTTGCAAGCTCGCGGGCCCAGGAACTCCTTCCGGGAAAGGAAGTAGTCGTGCGGCGTCCGGGCCACGGCGCCGCAAATCCGGCAGGTGTAGGAGGACGCGGGCAACCTCCTCAGCGCAGGGCCCGCGAGACTGCGTGCTGCGCATGCGCCAGCCATCTGGCACGCCAGTCCCCCGTTCTGGCATGACGTCATCCGGCCCCGCGGCCGACCGCCCCCTTCCGGCGCGACACTCTGACCCCGCCCATCTGCATAGGGGCGGAAGTGGACAGAGAACCTGGCGGGTGTTTACCTGCTCTGCTTTGACGGGCGGCTTCGCTGCCCCCTGGGCCGGCCAGCTAGCAACGCAAGCCCACGGCGTTTAATAAACATCATATGTTTTGGGGAAATTCAAAAAATATCTCGGGCGATAAAATATATCGCCAGCGATCTGTTCTGGAGAGCATCAGCAATGGCGGGTGGGGCGCAAACATCTAAATGCTGACTTTGACAGGCTGAGCTGCAAGAAAAGGTTTCTTGGCAGGGTGGGAAGGCCTGTGTATTCACCGTAAATAGATGCCTGCTGGGCATGTTTAGGTGCTGGGAGGTATGGCAAACTGCTAACCAGGGGGTCGGGAACAGGAAACCCACCTGCCAGTTCAGAGCCTGGGAGTCCAGTTTGCTGGTTTCGAGTGAAAACCATGAGGGGAAATGCAGAGGTGTCTCAGTCTAGCCCTTACGAAGTGCTTGTCTGGAAGATCTTCTTCTCTGTCCCTACTATCTGTATATCTGCCTTTTCAATTAAAAAAATAAACCTTTAAGAAAAAGTGCCGTGTCAGGCCTGGCGCAGTTGCCTAGTGGCTAAAGTCCTCATCTTGCACATACCGGGATCCCATATGGGTGCCAGTTCGTGTCTCGGCAGCCCTGCTTCCCATCCAGTTCCCTGCTTGTGGCCTGGGAAAGCAGCCAAGGACGGCCCAAAGCCTTGGGACCCTGCACCCGTGTGGGATACCTGGAAGAAGCTCCTGGCTTCTGGCTTCGGATCAGCTCAGTTCCAGCTGTTGCAGCTGCTTGGGGAGTGAATCAACAGACAGATCTCTGTCTCCTCCTCTGTGTAAATCTGATTTGCCAATAAAAATAAATCTTTTTTAAAGTGCTGTGTCACTACTTGAGGGCTGATGCCTTTTGGCCTACAAAAGATTTGACTCAGTACGGAACGAAACAAGTCTCTTGAGGATACAAGCTCCTGAGAAAAGGCCCAAGCTTACGGACAGTCATGCATGGACAGCAGGCTAGAGACTGAAGGAGTGAGGGTGACCTACGCTGGAGGGTTCACATTTGGTCTTACCAGGTGGCACCTTCAGACTGGAAAGGCCATGTGGAGGTAAGGGGCCCGCGTGGGAGAGCCAGTTACAAGGGCTGCCGTCCAACTCAGGTCTTAGCTGGGAGTCAGCAGCACACTTCCCTGACCCAGTGACTCCTCCCAGCTTTTCATCTTTGCCCTCCCCTTTTCCCATGGTAGTTTACAATAAATGTTCAAAACATATGGCTTATGTAGTTCATTTATTTCAGTGGCAATATTTGAGGATACACTGTATATCAGATTGTCAGCGAAGTTCAAGACAACCTTTACCTTCAGCAGTCCAACAGGAGATGGTAGGGAGCAATTAGAGGGGATAGGCGTGCCATGGCAGCTAAACGGGGAATCCAGTTGCATGGGGAAAAGACCAATTCAAACCCAAAAATGTACCCTTCTAATTTATCTCCAAAGGATATTTTTATTTTTAACTTTTAGTTTGTTCAGTGGGATATACAGAGAGGAAAAAGGAGAGCCACGGACACAACCTCATTTTTGATGTCATGCAAGGGAGAAGGCCCCCAAGGATTGAGTTAGTAGGTGACAAAGACAGTAGATTGAGTCTCCAAAAAAGAAGAGAGCAAGCACTGTCACTGCTCAGAGGAGAGCCCTTTATAAGGGAAAGGAGCCAAGACAAAACACTGGATCATGAGTTCAGACCACATGCTGCCACTCACCCCTTCCCAGAGGCTCTGTAAGCTGGCACAAAGCAGTGGCAGTATCCACAAGCACACATTTGGTGAAGCACCTCAGATGTTCTCATCACATATCAGAGTCCCTGGGTGGGCACCTTGCCTAGGGCTCCTGAGCCCAGAGACAGTGAGTTCCTGCCCCATCCCCATTCCCTGGAGTGCTGAACTGTATTCCCAGCCCAGCTCAGACTCAACTCTTGAGGGCACGTGGGTAGTGAACCAACAGACAGAATCTTGAAAGAGAGTGAAGAGGGAGGACTGGAGTCTGTGACTGGAGATGAGCATCTTGTTTTCCAAGTAAGTATTGCAGTTTCAACTATACCTAATTGAATCTTTAAGATAAAAGGAGGAAGAAGCAAAAGTGTTGGGGACCTGAGGAGAGAAGCCCAGTTTGTGACAGATGTGGCTGAAGTGTCCCACACCACTCCTCCTCGCCTTCATTGTTCACACCCAGATAGCTCCACCAGCAAGGGAGACTAGCAGGTTTGTACTAGATGAGCCTTTTCCAGAAAAGCACCTGCCCAGACTTTCCTCCCTCTGGCTTTAACACACCCAACACCCCATTTCTCCCAGCCACAGAAGACCCAAATGACAGGAAGACTCCAAAGGTCTCCAAACAAGAAAGACTGGCCAAATGCCCAGCTCATTCCCACACTGAGTCGCGCGCTCTCTCTCTTTCTCTCTCTCTCTCTCTCTCTCACACACACACACACACACACACACTCACACTCACACTCACACATGTATCTGAGTGGTGACAAGGCAAACACCTGACCACCCCACTCTACCACACAGTCCCTCAGCTATCTGCATGACACCTTCCCTTTAGAAGGTCCTTTTATGAGCTTTGACTCCACGGGCCAGGTGACTTTCAGACTTTGGCACCCATTTCTATTTAGATATCACATTCAGTTCCTAAGCAACCAGCCAGTCCCTCTCCCCCCCCCCCCCCCGAGGGAGCCGCCTGAGCCATACCCGCAGAACAGGTCAAACAGACCTCAAGTCGGGACGAATCACTGCTGAGGGAACTTAAATG